GATGAATTCACGCAATTCACTTGTGTTGTCGAAAACATTACTGTACAACACATTTTGTAGCTCACAACGAAAAACATCAGAGAATAAAACAAACCAAATATCGTCAGTTTGAACGAGATTGTCATTCTATAGAAGAAACGGTTCAAAATCTCAAGTGTGGTAGAAAAATAATTCAAGATGGTGAAGAAAAATTACAACAATGGTATGAATTTACGATAAGTACAATCAAACAACAATTTGAACAAAAAAAAGAACAACTTAAACATATTGAACAACAGTTTACAATCAAATTAGATAAATTCAAATTGAATAATATTGAAAAGTTAAGAAGAATAGAACATCAGCTTCAAGCTGAACAAGATGATAAAGGCCAAGATTTAAAAATAATTGAAGAAAATGTTAACAAGTTGAAGAAAGCAATGGAAACTGATATAATAAATGGATATTTAGAACTGAATTTAAGTGAAATACAGTGGAACAAAGATCCGGTGATATTCTACGATTCAATTCAAACAGGTAATATTGAAGTTATTGTAAAAAATGTGTTCAGATCTATGTGTCATCAAGGGTAATAGTAAAAACATGAAGACACCCAGATACCTACATGCAACCATAGACAGCTACACAGATATCCAAACACAGACATCCGTAGCTATCTGTGGCTGTATGTGTGCTGTCTGTAGGTGTCTTCATATTTTACTATTACCCGTGTCATTAATTGGAACTGATAACTTCTATTCATTTAGAATCATTTACGAGTGAACCATTATCTATTGATCATTTAAATCCATCAATTCGATCTCCTTTGGGTGCATCACTCGATACAATTTTAGTTGATAATAGTTTTGATGAATTTCGACAACTCATTTTGTACAAAGATCATTTGTTCAAATCAAAACAACAGATTGAATGGTCACACGATTCTATACGAGATATTCATTGGTCAGATTATTTGCAAAACTATCTGATTACAACACAAACAAAACTATTTACATTTTCACCGATTATTTTGCAAGAAAAATGTCAATTGGAATATGAAAATGCAAATTGTACTTGCTATGACCGAAATCTATTTATATCCTACGATAATAATCATCTCGATCATATAGAATTACCACAATGGACAGTGAAAACTCATTGGATATTATTTAAAGATACTGAGTATGTATGTCAGTTAAGATGTAATCAAACTCGCCGTATCGGTTTTATTATTGAATCAATGGAGAATAATGAACGACATTTAGAATTATACGATTGGAATAATAATGACACTTTGGAATTTGTTAAAACATGTGCATTTTATCAATCAAATGTGTACGGTCTATTGTATTTATCGAATCATGAGTGGTTAATAACAAGTGTAGATCATAATACTCTATTTAGACTGACGAATAATGATTGTCTATCATTTCGACATCATCCACATGTGATCAACATTACGCTTCTAAATAAACAATATGTAATTATGAGAACAAAACAAAGTATTTTATGTAAACTACTAATACAAACAATCTAGAAAATATTAGGACCTTTTGTTCAAATTTGATATGCATAGGACAAGCAAATGTATCCTGAATTTTTCTATCTGGGATACTGAGTTCGTGAACAGATAATGCCGAAATATATCAATGAAAAAACAGTTAAAAATAATACAATCCACTCTTTTATTTAACTTTTAAGAACAGAAAATGCAAATAAAACGAACTTACACCTTGAACAGATAAAAATGGAGTAAAGAGTACACAGACTTTATCACTATCTTTTATGATCAATATATTTTTTAACTTCCAGCATTCCTTAATACTATCAAATCTGTAGCTAAACAATTTGTATTTATTGTTAGAATTGTCTCGTTTCATCAAAGTAACGATAAAAAATGGATTTGACACACTGCGAGTATTTATCATTAATCATTGTCATGTGTAATAAATGTAAAATGTCAGCACTAATTGATGCCTTTTCTTCCCGATCATTGAATATGCTACGATTCGTTATGTTCAGCAATGGTAGAACTATAATATATTTTCTTG